TGATGTTGAAAGCGAATCTGGTGAAGAGAACAGGGAATCTGACAAGAGTGATAATGAAAGCGAATATGATGATAATGAGGATGATGATAATGAGGATGATGGTGAGCCCGAGAAATTAGCTTGTGATCATTGTGGAGAAGAGACTGGTCACATTGTATACTTAATGAAGTGCCCAAGATGTTCGTGGAAAGATTTCTACTGGGGCAAAGACGCTCAATGTATGATATGTGATGAACAGTCACCTCTACTGTTTTCGCATGTCATTGGTTTCTGCGAGTTATGTTCGTATGGTACGTCTAACAGCAAGGCGGGCGGATTGGAGTTCACACCAAAAATGGCCAAATAAAAGACCCAGCAGATTGGACCGAACGTGACCTAGCGCGAATGACTCCGGAAGCAAGAGAGGATTATGAACGTTTCATATTGAGCGATAGACCGAAATATATTCCAATGAAGCCGGAAAAACTTGCAAAGTTATCCCCAGAAGATAGACAAGAATATGAGAACTCTTTAAAAATAACAAAAACACCTAGACGTTACGCTCTCAGAAGTAGACCGTACTAAATTTTGTAAAACGTTTTGAAGAAATAAATACATTTAAAAACTGAAATATTGTGTAATTTTTTGCCGGCAAAGCCCGCTCTTTCCGCCCGCGCGAAAAGATCCGTCTACAAATATGTTGTACTTCAATATATGCATGTACCCGCAGAGCCACGCGCCTGATTTTAAGGTATACACCTGCGTTAAAAAAATAATCCCTATCTATCCATCGGGATACACTTAGTTATGCAAATTCATATTGCCTTAATCCCCTTAATTACCTACACGCCTCCTAATGACTTAGCAACGCATAACAACGCAACATTTGCAAAGTATAAAACATGTTTATTGATACAAATAACAGACGATAGTGTCAAAAATATTACAACTAAAACTATTTGTTAAACTGTTCTATAAGTTTTTTCTCCATGAGTTGTTGATAAGCTTTCTTATGATCTACCTCAAAACTTCTAAATCGTTCACCCGTCGCCTTCACATAATACATGTAACTCGGTGGGTAAGAGAAAAACGCTTCAGCTACGGACTCGAGTGGGTCTTCTAATCTCCAATGAAACAAATAGTTCAGTATACATTGCAGTTCGTGGTTCTCAGTGTCCTGATGTAGTTCCATCAATGAATCGACAAACGTAGAATCTGGATCTTTTTCCAGTTGCTGTAAATGTTCGAGTACATCTCTATCAACCGCCAGTTTTAGTACCCTCATTGCCTCAGCGAATTCATTCCAAACCATACGCTTACCATTCACTCGTTCGATCGCTTGTAAACCATACATTTGCCATCGTTCGTTTTCGTTCATCATGAGGCAGTCATGTTGTCTTTGACTAGGATGACTGACTTGACAACCATTACAGGATTCCACACAAAGTCTTTCAACTTCTTGTGCGACTGCATTCGCAAATATTCCTTCCAATAAATTGTAAGATGTGGTTTTACCGTGTAGACACTCCATGACTGATGTAGAACTAATGCAGAACTATGCTTGTTACAAGACGCTTGTCGATTTTATACAGATACTTGTATAAAAGTTCATAGTAAGCCAACATTAATCCCTCCATCGTATCATAAACGTGGGCGACGCTAAAAAATGCGTAGTCAGCAAGTTTCGCCCGATCTTGTTTAAACCTGCCCGCGTGACGTCATTGCATATAATTATGACGTATGTTAATGATGATGCGCCGCCCCACGCCGCACCGCGCCGCCACCACACACCACCACCACCACCACCACCACACACCACCACCACCACCACCGCAAAAATCCGGATCGATCGGCCCCTATATTACTACTCACCACAGAGGAAAGTAGATTTACACCAAAGAAGTGCTAGATAACCTATGGCAGTGTAAGTTTACTCTCTCAGTGTAAACAAACACCAAATTGGTGTCCCCACAGAGGCAAGCGGATTTACACCAAAGCAGCGTTAAATAACCTAGGACAGTGTAAGTTTACCCTCTCAGTGTAAATAAACACCAAATTGGTGTCCCCACAGAGGCAAACGGATTTACACCAAAGTAGTGTTAAGTAACCTAGGATAGTGTAAATTTACTCTCTCAGTGTATAAACAAACACCAAATTGGTGTCCCCACAGAGGCAAGCGGATTTACACCAAAGCAGCGTTAAATAACCTAGGATAGTGTAAGTTTACCCTCTCAGCGTAAATAAACACCAAATTGGTGTCCCCACAGAGGCAAGCGGATTTACACCAAAGCAGCGTCAAATAACCTAGGATGGTGCAAATTAACACCAAATGGGTGTTCATACAGACACAACTATGTACACTGAAGAGGTGTAAATTAACACTAAAATCAGTGTTAACTGACACCTTTTCGGTGTCCCCACAGAGGCAAGAATTTACACCGATTTTGGTGTTGTGGCAACACTCCCAGTCGAGCGAGTTGCATTCTAAAGAAAGCAAAGCAGGGAATCAGGACAGCTATAATGAGAACGTTAGCTTCGAGCAGTCGAGCGAGGCGGAGAAATCGAGCGAGTCGCATTCTTTAGAATATCTAAATAATCAATTAGAAGCACTAAATAAAGCAGTATCTACCAATACAGCTGCTATAAAGTCGCTCATTGAAAACACGAATGACAGTAAACAGCCAAATTATCAAGAATTAGAAAACGAAATTGCCATACTAAAAGAAAAGAATCGTAAACTTACGGATAAGAATGCGAAACTTAAAGTCGAGAACAGTGACTTGGACGTGAGAATTAACAACTTAACCTATATATTAGCCGATTTGCAAGGAAAGGCCAAGAGTGCCGAGCAAGAAAAAGAAAGTCTAATTACTGCTATGAGACTACTGGTCGAAGATTCGAACAACGAACCCAACGCCACAATTAAGAATTACACTGGTGAAACGAGTAAACAAAGCGAGACACAGGATTCAGTTGATTGCGCTGGGCAAACAAAAGAAGTGTTGAATCCGAACATTCAAGTGAGTAATAGATTTTCCAACCTTAACACTGAGGAAAGTAATGCAGATGACGTGGATGTTACGCAGAATGACCTTGTTACCGCTCGTACAGAACCAGCAACGAAACCTAAACAAGTAAATGAGAAATATAACAGAAGGCATCATACTGGCAGCAAAGAAACGAAGCAAACTTATCATCACCCTCGTCCTAACGTTGCTATCGTGGGAGACTCGATGCTCAAGCACATAAATCCTACACAGCTAAGGAGAAGTACAAGGAGCTTTAACACTCAAATCAAGACGTTTCCAGGTGCGAAGGTAAGCGATATGGAATATTATGTTAAACCTACTCTGGCCCGTACACCAGACCATTTGATTCTGCATGTCGGTACAAACGACGTGAGACAAAGTACACCACAAGAGATAACAAATGCCATATCCATGCTTGGGCAACAGATCAAGAAGGAACTACCTACAACGAATCTTGCTATTTCCGAAGTAATTACAAGAAATGATGACCCAAGTCTGAATACGAAAATTACAGAACTTAATACTAAGCTATCCCAGGTATGTACCAATAATAAGTGGAAGATCATTACCCACAGAAATATTTCCTCTGAACATTTGAACCCATATGGGCTCCATCTTTCTAAACAAGGAACAGCTAAATTAGCCCAGAACTTTACAAACTATCTAAAAAATCCTAATTGACCATCTACCGATGCTCCACCCCCTCCACAACCTGTTACCAATACAATAAGGCCAGTAAAGCAACCAAACCCTATTCTTCCTAAACTTAAAGGTTTCAAAGTAGCACAACTTAACATCGCTAGCTTGCCTAAACACTATGAAGAACTACTTATTTATATGCGTGATGAACCTTTCGATATATTGACCTTAAATGAAACTAGATTAGACAGTACTTTCCTAGACTGTGAAGTACAGATACCTGGTTATGATATTGTCAGATCTGACCGAAACAGACATGGGGGAGGGGTAGCTATATATATAAGGACTATCATTCCATATATCGTACGTGAAGATTTATTACAAGATACTCTCGAATTGCTTTGTATTGAAGTTAGAAAACCTAAAAGTAAACCAGTGCTTATTTCAACTTGGTATCGACCACCGAGTGCAAAAATTGAATTATTCCAAAAGTTCGAAAACTTCTTGAAGCAGATTGATAATGAAGACAAAGATATTATCATAACCGGGGATCTTAATTGTAATTTTATTGAGCACACTCAAAACCAAGCTACTTCTAAGTTAATTGATATTATTGATATTTTCCAACTGCAGCAACACATACAAACCCCTACTAGAACTACTTATAATTCTTCGTCTCTGATTGATTTAATTCTTACACATATCGACGATGATAAAACCTTAGAAGCCGGGGTTGTTGACCTTGGGATTAGTGACCATAGTCTTGTTTATATATGTCGGAAAATTAGCATTCCTAAAGAGCCACCAAAAATTGTATTTACACGACAGTTCAAAAATTACAACTCCCACCAATTTAAAGAAGAGCTAAGCTACTATACTAATCTAGATCCCACATCGAATGATCCAAATGTGCTATGGAATGAATTTAAGAACAACTTTCTTACTATTGCTGAAAAACACGCGCCAGTTAGACAGCGTCGCGTTAAGAGTGAGCATAAACCATGGCTGACGAAAGAAATAAAGCGTTTAATGCATCATAGGGATTATCTTAAAAGACAGAGTGTTCGTTTAACATCGAGTAATTATAACGAGGCCTACAAAAGATGCAAGAATAAATTAAATAAGCTTATTAAAAAGACTAAGGAAGAATACTTTAAAACGAAGTTATCTAATGCAAATAATAGCAAAGAGAGTTGGCAGGCTATTAATGAGCTATTAAACAAAAAGCCCAAAACTACCCATGTAACACAGCTAAATGTAGATGACCAAGTTATAACTGGAGACACAAATATTGCGGACTGTTTTAATCAGTATTTTTCATCCATCGGTTGTAAACTGTCGAAAAATGTCCAAAATATTAATGTTGACCCTATGACATTTGTCACTCCTACGGAGAGTTCGTTTCATTTTTCATGTATTTCAGTCCAAGAGACTTTTGACGCCTTAAACCAACTTAATTCAAGGAAATCACCAGGACTGGACGGCATAAGTGTAAAACTATTAAAAGATACAAGCGATGTTATCGCGCAACCATTAGCCAACATCTTTAATCTATCTCTTCAGACTGCAATTTTTCCGGACGAGTGGAAAATCGCCAAGGTATCACCAGTCTTTAAAGAAGGGAATAAAACTGATTGCGGAAATTATAGACCAATCTCTGTAATTTCTGTGGTTGCTAAGCTGTTTGAAGGGCTAGTGTACAATCAATTGAGAACGTTTATTGCCGACAATAGCATTCTTGTAGAGCAACAGTCCGGTTTTCGTTCACAGCACTCTACTGAGACGGCACTCTTAGGTTCGACAAATGAGTGGTTATATAACATGGACAGTGGCTTAATCAATGGAGTCCTGTTCTTGGACTTGAAAAAAGCTTTTGACACTGTCGACCATGAAATCTTATTAAAGAAACTTCACCTATACGGCATAAAAGGAACTACTTACGCATGGTTTGAATCTTACATCCAAAATAGGAAATCGATTTGTTTAATGAATGGGAAAAAATCACATGCTAGAGAAATTAGGTGTGGGGTACCACAAGGTTCTAACCTTGGCCCCATCCTATTCCTCTTGTATATTAACGATCTACCTAAGTGTCTAGAAACAACCAAGGCTAACTTGTTTGCTGATGACACAAATCTTTCGTGTGCCGGCTTAGATGCCAATGAAATCGAGACTAAACTTAAAAGAGATCTTGAGAATGTTCATAGTTGGCTTAGATGTAACAAGCTCACGCTAAACGATAGCAAAACGGAATTTATGATAATTGGCTCTAGACATCATCTTACTAAATTTGAAGACAACCCAGAGATTTCATTAGCCATACGAGATAATAATATTAAACGGGTCACCAATAAAAAATCTCTTGGTTTTATCATCGACGATCAATTAAAGTGGGGTATACACATTGACGCACAATGTAAAAAAATCTCAAAAAATATCGCATTACTAAGAAGAGCCAAGTCCTTTGTTCCTTTACACATTTTAATCAAAATGTATAATGCTCTAGTATCTCCTCACCTGACATATTGCTCAACAATATGGAATGATGGATCTAATACCATTCTTAACAAACTTTCTAAGTTACAAAGAAGAGCAGCTCGGGTTATCACAGGACAATCATACGATGTTCGTTCCACTCAAATACTAGAAAGTCTCAATTGGATGCCAATTGAAGACATTTTAAAGAAAAGAGAAATCATTATGACGTTTAAAGCTTTAACTAACAGACTACCTGATTATGTGCAGAATTTCTTCACGAGATGCGAAAATAGTAATTATTCTCTAAGAAGCAATAATGTTAAACTATCTTTGCCTAAACCAAGAACCAACTTTCTTAAAAGAAGTTTCTCTTATAGAGCAGCACAAGGGTGGAACGAATTATCGGATGAATTAACTAATAACATTCAGGATTTATCTTTACCCAATTTCAAAAGGCGTTTAGCCCTTAAGCTTGCACATGAATAATGTATAATGCATTTCCGAAATTAATGGAGTGTGTAATAATTATGTGCTGTAATTAAATGTAAATATCCATAGTTAATGTGTGTTTAATACTATATAGCACGGCCCTTTGAAAAACAGACTGTATATATTATACTGAATAGGCTACCGTGTTAAAAGAAATTTTATTAAAGATTAAAGATTAAAGACAGTGCAAGGAAACAGCAATTATCATCCTACAGTATATTTCGCCACATGTTGGTCAAACTCTCGGTCGATTTCGCACGATACAAACAATTTTCGAGAACCCACGCTCGATATCTAATTAAAGTCTTCGAGAAACTAAATTAAAATTTCGAGAACGCTCGCTCGCTTCGCGCTCGCGTACTCGCAACTCGCAAATTTCTCGTTAGGGGTCAAATCGCGCTCGATAGCCTCTCGCTCGAACTCGCAACTCGCTCGTTACACGATGTTAACTTTCATTAGGGCTGTACTGTATATATATATACTGTATAATGTTGTTATTGTTCACTCCGTAATATCATAAGTTGAAAATGTTCTCGAGTGTGTATTTCAAAATTTACATACCCAGCGCAACAGAAAGATATTGTCTGCCGCGGCTGGGTCTTGAACCCGCGACCTTCGAATTACTAGATCGACGCTCTACCAACTGAGCTACACGGTCAGACGGATTTAAGACTGGAAATTATAAACTATATATTGAATGTCAACCATATACTAGTTCTCCAAGTGTTATGTTACTGTATGTTGTGTTAAACCTTGGCTTACGAGGTTGCTCGAGTGTGTTCAATGCTGAATATATTATTAATATATGTATATATTATTATAATTTATTGGTTCGATGCTGAATTAATATATAAACGAGTATGTTTATGACATTCAGTATATGGCTCATAATTTCCAGTCTTAAATCCGTCTGACCGTGTAGCTCAGGTGGTCGCGACCTTCGAATTAGGGTTCAAGACCCAGCCGCGGCAGACAATACTGTATCTTTCTGCTTGCGCTGGGTATGGAAATTATGAAATACACACTCGAGAACATTTTCAACTTAATTTAATTAATGTTAATTTATGTTATCGTTAATTTCAAGCATGCAAATTTTAGTTATCGTTAATTAAAAAGACCTTGATTTGTTTTATATATAAACACGAACTCTTTTAACTCAAAATACATCATAGTAAACTTTGTCACTGTCGGCAGAGTTAAGCTCAACTATATATTTTATATACATTGGCTTAAATTACTTTAACTTTTAACGTTACAGTTTTGACATATCTACTCGCGCGTCCTGTTTTAATTGGTAGTATACATATAATATTGAACTTTTGCTGTTGTGTTTATATTCTTCGACTCGCGTTAGTTAAATTAACTTGTTAACCATAAACTGTCATATTCGCGTTAATTTAATCAATTATATGTATATATACAGGGTGTATAAAAAAAAACTGAACAGATTTGAAATTGCTCTCGATTTTGCAAAACACCTATTTGTATCCGGTTTTTTATATATATAGCTTCTTTGGGTATTTATAATGTAGAATAATGAAAAAAATTTCTCGAACTCAAATTTTGTGAACCAGGGGGGTGTGTCTTTCCCAACAAACTAAAAATGGCTCGTGCACAAAATTTAAAAGCTGCAATCATATTTTGAGTTAATAGATGGAAAATTTGTCGGGTTTTTAATTACTGTACAAAATTTCAGACAATTTGGTTTAGTTTAAGCCCCTTAACTATTCACGCAAAGTTACATTTTTCCTAAAAATCAGCTATTTGCATGCTTAATTAATGCATTTGCCTAATTTGCATATGTCAGCAATATGCAAATTAGGTAAAGGCATTAATTAAGCATGCGAAAGGATGATTTTTTAGAACAAAATGAATAGTTAAAGGGCTTAAACTAAACCAAATTGTCTGAAATTTTGTACAGTAATTAAAAACCCGACAAGGTTTCCATCTATTAACTCAAAATATGATTACAGCTTTTAAATTTTGTGCGCGAGCCATTTTTAATTTGTTGGAAAAGACACCCCCCCCCCTGGTTCAAAAAATTTGAGTTCGAGAAATTTTTTTCATTATTCTACATTATAAGTACCCAAAGAAGCTATATATATATAAAAATATATATATATATATATATATATATATATATATATATATATATATATATATATATATATATATATATATATATATATATATATATATATATATATATATAAGCACTCTGGCCCCATTACGCTCTGCGCATGTCTGGATACATTGTGTCACCGTGTTGTACCACATGCCTTGGTGAGAGCAAGTTCATGGGGTATAAATACGAGTGTCTCGCGTATCTAGACGTGTACCAAGCTGCACTGACGAGGCGTTGAACGCCGAAACATGCATGTCTGCAGATTGTATATATATATATATATATATATATATATATATCTTCAAATTGAAAATAAATTTTATTAAACTTCAAAATAAATACATAAATAAAGATACGTTTCGGGGCACAGCCCCTTCGTCAGAAACGAGATAAGTTCAAATCCATGTCCTTAAATACTTTCGGCCCAATCCTAATAAACATACACTAATAATATAATAGACTTGCATTAATATTCCTCCCTCAAATTTAATCCCAAAACTTTCCCTTTCTGTAGGTTCATTAACATCCGTAATATCGATAATCTGTGCTTTAAAATCATTAAGACCCAAATGGCCCTCCTCAAAAAATGTTCATACAAATGTTGACCACATAAACCTCTTTGGCCGTTAGAAAATTTATTGTGGTTATTAAATCTTAAACGAAATGACGTTACCGTATTGCCCACGTATTGTTTACTACATTTTCCGCAAGTAATTAAATAAACCACCCCCTGAGAGTTACAATCAAAGTGATGGTTAATGTGAAACGTGCGCCGTTGTACTGTACTTTGAAAAGTATCCGCTACCACGATGGAATCACAAACTTTGCACTTCTTCCCCCCACATTTAACCATCCCTTTAGCTGCAACCTCAAGCTTATGCAATTTAGCCCGAACAAGATGGTCTTTAAGGTTTTTGGATCTCCTAAAACACACCATAGGTGGCTCTGGCATGACACTTAGGAACTTGCTAGATAAGCCTACAATATTTTGCAATTCCCTAAAAATTCCATAAATTTCCCGCAATGCTGGGTGATAATCTATGATAAAGGTACTCTTATTATTTTCCCTTCTAGTTTGTTCACTTCCCCGTTTAAATAATGCCGACCGATCCAAAAACCGGACTCTCTTAAACTGACTCTCTACAAATTCGCTATTATAGCCCCTTTTAACCAGAAACCCTTTCAATTCCTGAAGCCTACTCTCAAAAACCTTATCTGAATGGCAAATCCGCTTTAGACGCATTATGCATGTCCATACGGAATTTCCCTCTTAACATGTGGAGGATGACAGGACTTAAAATTTAGATATTGATGTGCATCAGTAGGTTTACTATACACATCAGTGCAAAAAAAACCACAGTATCCAATCCTATCGACACGTCAAGAAAAGAAATCCTATGATAACTTATATCCCATGTATACTTAATATTCTCGTGAAAAGAATTCAAACGAAGCAAAAAATAATTTAACTCTTCCTCCGAATGAAGCCAAATCACAAAAATATCATCCAGAAAACGCCACCACGGTTTTAACTCACATGTTTCCAAACATTTTTCTTCCAAGTGGCCCACAAATATATTCGCAAAACCTGGTGCGAACTTGGTCCCTATGCCGGCTGTCCCCAATTCTTGACGGAAAATCTTTTCATCAAATTCAAAATAAAGACCAGTTATTTGGATTGAAAAATTGAATACATATATGTATACAGTACCACTGGGATTAAATTTGAGGGAGGAATCTTAATGCAAGTCTATTATATTATTAGTGTATGTTACTGTAATTAGGATTGGGCCGGAAGTATTTAAGGACATAGATTTGAACTTATCTCGTTTCTGACGAAGGGGCTGTGCCCCGAAACGTATCTTTACTTTATGTATTTATTTTGAAGTTTAATAAAATATTAAAATTTATTTTCAATTTGAAGCTTTATATAAATGAAGTTTATTCACTTTATTGGGAGGCTAGTGATATATATATATATATATATATATATATATATATATATATATATATATATATATATATATATATATATATATATATATATATATATATATATATATATATATATATACTGATTCAAATATTTTAACAATACCTGTTAATCAAAAGGAAAAACAACCACAACTCACCTGGTGCAGTACCATCTGGTGACTCTGAAAATCTCTGTATTGGTTGATGGAGTTCATGTCTGCGCCTCTAACAAAATTATATAAATACATAAGTCACAATCACCTACTGTAATAATAATCTTAATATGCTCTTTATGATTTTTACAATCGGGTTGCTTGAGTAATATTGAAACGTTTTCTATACAAATATAACCTTTAAACATCAGGTGTTTGATATTTACCAATTCTTCCTTTGTTGGCCTGTGAACCAGTAAATTAGATATCGTGCTCTACAGTAAGTAAAATAAGATATTACACAACACTATATGTAACATAAATTTGTGTTATGGAAAACACTTGTTATTTACAATTCATTATCATGTCTTTAGTTATTAAATTGGGTCGTTCCAGAAAAGATCCATACTCTACGAAATTTCTGCCGTCCAGAGGGGGAGGGGAGAAAAAATTGTTCCTGATAATAGTAAATGTATTAGGACATGGGGGTGGTATGGATGTTTTCTGGAATGACCCATTTCATCTTGTTTTGATATAGAAAAATGCCTGGGATCTCAGCCAACCTGGCTAGGATTTCAATTACAAAAAAGAACAAAATAACCTGGGCTGGCTGGGCTATTCAAGCTGAAAATACTGTATACTGTAATATGCTGTACAGTATATGCATAAATATAGTTACTGTATACAACATTTCTTGAAAAAAGATCTCAAAATGTCTGATGTGATGTCTTGCTGCAAGTATTACTTGCAGGGCTTTTTTTAACTTAAATATAACTGGGGGGGGGGGCAAAGCCCCCCCCCAGACCCCATGGTGGGCCCAACCAAACCATTCCCCCCCCCAGTCAAAGTCCCATTTCTCTAAAATATAAGCAAAACATGGAATTTAGAAGGAAGGTTTGGTATTCTAGTAACTGAAATTTGCTTTGTGAATCTTATGTCATGTCTCTTATCTTTAATAAATACCTTTAAACATTTTCCAGTGGATTGCATTTCCCAGACCCTATAGATTTGAGTTGTTGGAAGGCTCGGCTAAACAAGTTAGTGACCGCAGGGGGCAACAGGCCCTCAACCAAGTGTTTTATAAGGGGGGCGGATAATTTTGGCCCTCACCAAAAAAAACCAATTAGAAGTATTTGAAATCATATATATATATATATATATATGTTGTTATCAAAATATTGATTACAGATATTTGATTATATATATATATATATATATATATATATATATATATATATATATATATATATATATATATAATCAAATATCTGTAATCAATATTTTGATAACAACATTTCTCATAATAATCCATTCTGACTCGTGGATAGCATATACTCACAAATCATAATGAGTGAATTAGTGAAAGGGCCTAACAAAAGACGTAGAGAAGACTTTGAAAATGCCATTTCCGACGATTTAGAGACGCAAAAAATTGCCAACCATGGTGGCGCTTTGTGGGAGTCGGCCCCTCTAAGTTTATCAAGCTGGTTCCCTGAATGACAATCAAGTTGTGGTATCTACATAAACATACTATGCAAGTACTTCAGGAAGGTTCAGTCTATCTACGGTTCAGTCTATCTGAAGGTTCAGTCTATCTTATAGTCTATACAGCATAATGTAATGCTGTATATCCAAAATTCTGTTTCAGAAAATGCAGGGAATTGCAGTCATAGGGGTAGAAAAATAAAAACAATTTTCTTGGGGAGATTACCCCAGACCCGGCCTCCCCCTACTATTAATCTGTAAATTTCGTCAAAGTGTAAATACATTTCTATTAATTTGGTATTTATACATTTTGGTATACTATTTTTATATTAATATTATATATGTGCAGTACGAACACTTCAATTAACACTTTAAAAATAGTTGGAGCTGAACGGTAAATATACTTACATCCCATGGTGGTAATTTCTTCTTTCTCTGTCCATTTACTCTGGATTTCTGACTAGAACTGTTTGTTTTCTTTGAACGTCTAGATAAATAACCTCGAGTAGCCATTTTGAAACTTTCCCGCGCTTATTTTCACTAATTTAGTCAATACTTCATGATATACAAAACCAAAAGGTTCATTAAGAGCGCTTCCATCTCCCTTGGACCCTGGGCCAGTGCTCTCACTTTTAAGGAATTATCCTTAGAAATAGGAATTTTGAAGAGTTTTAAGATTTTTTTTAAGGAATTCAGGTTTTTGAGGATTTTTTTAAGGAATTTCCGAAACATTTTATCCTGGACTAAAAACGTTGGACGGAGGATAACCACGCCACGCAAATGAGATTTAAACTTGAAAGTAGCAACATTATACGCACATAATTACATTTAGTATAATTACATAGGTGATTATTGAAAATTCTCCACGCTGATTGGTTGCCGTTGAGGTGATTATTACGCGATAATCACCTAAGCGATTTTCAAAATGGCGGCCGAAGCCTTTTTGTCAATTAAATGACAAAGAAATGTGTATTTTCTTATTTTTTTCCAAATAATCACCTATGAAATTATACTAAAACAATTATTCACCTCAGGCTCGGTGATTATCGTGAATAAAAACCTCGACTTCGTCTCGGTTTTTATTCACCGATAATCACCTCGCCTTCGGCGAATAATTGTTAAATATTCGTATGTTCTCTATGTCATAAATGTTCTTATGTTCCAGTACCAATTTGGTTCCAGTACCAAATAACACAAATCACACTCATATAACGTAATTGTCATCATAATATAATAGTATATGTTTCTGTACATGGCTTGGCATGTGATTTATAACAAAACTTAAAACAGTGTTTTGAAACCCTAGTTTTTTACAAAATGTGTTCTCAGAACGCTGCAAATGCCATTTCCGGGATTCAAATTTTAAAATTTTTCCGTGCCTTCGGCACGAGCCCCCCCCCCCCCAATATTTCGTAAAGTGTCCGCCACTGGTCTTTTCATTAAAATTCTCAAAAGTTAAATGTCAGTATATGCTGTTTCTTCTGAAATCTACAGATTTTTTAAGCTCTTCATGCAGCAACGATCAAAAATACATCATGTTGAATGTTTTCTTTATGGCATTACGCTAACAATCAAATGTTTTCAATTTTTAGTGCTTAGAAACAAGGTTATAAAAACTGAAAAACAGAAAAAAGGAGGAAAAAAACACTTTTTGCAACTGTGTGATCAGGCCTTCTGGTAATTTTACCAATTTAAGGAATTTTAAGGAAATCTGAGGAATTTTCGAGCTTTTTCTAAGGAATTCGAAAATTTGATTGTGAGAGCACTGCCCTGGGCACAGAATAGATATTTCTATTTTGTGCCCTGGGTTAGCTAACTCTAGGTTAATTAAAATTGTGTTGTTCCAAAGCAGGGTTAAAAGTGCCAAGGTTATATATATTGATATATGACATGACATCATCAATTAAATCTGATAACGCACCAATTAACTACAGGCCGCATGAATACTCTTTTGACCAGTCTTTACAAATAATTCACTTAAACACTTGGGCAAATATCTTCAATTTCATTCTCTCTTGCCTTCTCTTCCTTTTCATTTCAAAATTGGAGACTTCTACACTGCCATACTTTTTGTTGAACTGTTTGGCAGTATTTGCAGCATCGTATTTGAATTTGCTCACCTAGACCCTCAACTTACTTGCTAATTATAATAAAGCTTTTTGTGATTGATTGGCACTCTCATACTAAGTTTTGGGAGAAAGGGGGGTCTGCGGGTCCCTCCCGCAGAAAATTTTGCATGTAAATTGACTGTATTTTACAAAAATGGTTATCATTTCACAAAAATAATTACTCTATTATGCAAATTTTACCTGAAAATGTCAAAATTTTAATTTGAATTTTACATGATTTTTGCCTGAATTTCACAGTAGGAGGAGTTTGCAAACCATCTATAGACCCTTTTCATAAATGGCTGCCGATTAAAAATTCTTTTATGTGCATATAAATTGGCCCAACTAGCCTCGTACTCATGTTAAGATTTCAAAAGAATTTCTACCCAGAAACGAGGCTAGTTGGGCCAATTTATATGCACATAAAAGACTTTTTAATCGGCAGCCATTTATGAAAAGGGTCTATTCTATTAACTATGGTGGGAGTGAACACTCCAGGCCCCTGCTGGACCAAAACTTTGAAAAGTTTAGAGCCCCCCGCTTCAGTATATCGAGAACTTTCAGAGCCCCCCTTTAATGCCAGAAAATATTTCGCCCTTTACATCTTCATCCCCCCCCCTCGGCATAATAAATGCACTTTCCCTTAGGTATTTGGGACTTTTTTCGGCATATAGTCTTTACTGCCCCCCTGGTGAAAAAATCCTGCGTACGGCCCTGCTTCACATTAATTTGTTAGAGTTGGCAGTTCAGTTACTTCTTATTTCCATGTTTATAAAACTGACATGTATTCATGCTCGCAGTGAAAACAAAGTAGTTTGAAGTAAAACAGTAGCGTAGCGAACACGACGATTTAGTCCCGCTATGCAAACATTTTCGTGTTCATTGACTGTGAAAACAATCAATTTCCAAAGAAATGAATAATGATATTTTGAATTTGCATAGCGGGACTAAATTTTCGAGCTGGCTACGCCACTGTGTAAAAAACTTAAGCCCTGAGCAAACTAGCAAACATTGTTGCGGAAACATTGTTTCCTACCAATGTTTCGCCATGTTTCCCAGCAGGGGCGTAGGAAGCACCTGGAGTTTGGGGGGGCACCGGCTTGTAGGGGCACATTACTATCGGAAAGGGCACCTAAAAAATTTTTCCCGGAAATGTTGTCGACGGGGGGGGGGGAGAAATTTCTCCTGAGGAAAATTTTCCGTCGTATCATACCGAAATTTATGTTTGTGACCTAATTTTTAAAAAAAATTTGTAAATTTCCACACAAAAACGGTACCTATTGTTTTAATTTAGTATTTACAGCGACATTAGCTTCTACAAAAGGGGCACTTTTCCTCACAAAAAAGGGCACTTTTCAACACAAAAAGGGCACTTTTTATCACAAAAAAGGGCACTTTTAGCCCTTTAAAAAAATTTGGGGGGCACGTGCCCCCCGTGCCCCCTCGCTTCCTACGCCCCTGTTTCCCAGAGTGGGCAAACACTATAAGGAAACATTAGTGAGAAACATAGGGAAACATCAAATGTTTCTGAATTTGGTAGGAAACATTTTTGCTTCTTGGGAAGCAAATTTTGTTTCCGCAAACAATGTTTCCACGGGTGGGCAAACATAGAAACATTCTAGTGAGGAAACATCGAGAATCACAAATTAATGTCTCCGCAGCAATGTTTCCTAGTTTGCCCAGGGCTTTACTTGATCCTTGCTTGGAAACGGCCTGAGCAAGCTTAATATAAATGTATTCGTAACTTTATAAAAATCTTTTCTAAAATCTTGAATTTATTGAGTAAGGGTTAGGTAAAAAATTGAACACCGAAAATGATTGCGTAAATAAAAAATATAGCATTAATTATTAAATAAATAGCATTAATAAATATACCCCGAGAACCCCGAGGCATAAATAATGAACGATCCTTAACGTCCCTTAGTACTAACCAATCATGCAAAAGACAGATTAAAATTTTTTTAGTCTTGGCTTTTTACATGCGCCCAGACAGCGATTTGTGTTAAGCCCTGATTCCACGAGCGCTCTTTGTCGGCGAAATGCGAAATATTTCGCCTGTTTCTTTTGAATTGCGACCACTCGAATAAATTATTTCTACTTATTGCTCACAATTCAAAAGAAACAGGCGAAATATTTCGCATTTTGCCGACAAAAAGCGCTCGTGGAATCAGGCCTTTAGGCCCTCTTTTCTCTTCCATCCACCCGCATTTAAGGAAGAGAAAACAGAGCCTAATACTCAGGCTACTCTCATGCACTCTCATCAACTCTCATTGACTTTGAAAAGGTTCAAATTATAATGAGAGTTGATAAGAGTTTTTGGCTTTTGCTATCGCGCGGTACAAATTTTAGTGAGAGTTGATAAGAGTAGACAGAGTACACGTTTTCGCTATCGCGTCATCCGCGTGGTAATATCAGTCAACTCTCATGCAACTCTTATTCAGTCGTTTGACCGGGGCATGAGAGTTGAGAAAACTCTCATCCTGGCCTCGTTTGACCAGGGCTTAATAAAGCCGGGGTCAGACCCTAATCTTGTTAGTAAAATTTCCTTTCAAAAGGAAATTTCCTTCAACGCGGAAGGACGGCAATGCCATGCTCAGTACACCAAGGTCCAACCCAATGCATTCGCGTTAATATTTCCACAGGGGGCTCAACTACTGTCAGCTTAGCCCGCGTGCAGGCCCAAGGGAACTGTCAAGTTCCGTTGAGCCTGCTCCCTTGGGCCTGCACGCAGGCTACTGTCAGCTAGTAACAATTAAGTATAAAATAATCAAACATTGATGAATATATTATGAATAGAGAAACAGCAAAAAATTATCTGTATGACAGGGCATTTTTTAAGAATTTGTCACTGGGGGGATCTACAAAAAAGGACCATACTATACCGAGTGTGGAAAAACGATAGATGGTTTGTTGGTAACAAAACATTTGGTGTGGTATCGCATTTAATATAGTAGGGCGGGGGAGGGGAGTCTGGAGGTATTCTCTCCCAGAAACTTTTTGTATTTTTCTACCCCTATGACTGATATTCCCTGCATTTTCTGAAACAGATTTTTGGATATACAGCATTACATTATGCTGTAGATACACTGAACCTTCAGTTATGTACTTGCATAGTATGTTTATGTAGATACCACAACTTGGTCACTCAGGAAACCAGCTTGATAAACATAGAGGGCCCGATTCCCACGAAGCGCCATCATATATTGTGGGCGGTATAAGAGGGGGAACTTCCACTCGTCAGCTAATCGGAAAATTGTTATCTCAGTCGGCAAAACTGGATTGGCTAAAGATAACCACTGAAGAAACCAAAATTGACCTCCTGAATAATTGAATTCAAACCGAATATCACGAATAGCATGCATCAAAGAAACCACACATGCAGCAGTGCAAATTTTTTCGAATACA